CCCAAATGACTCCAAATCAAAGACCCGAAGCATATTTGGAAGGTTCAAACCATAACTTGGATTACCAAATGGTTTCCAAACATAACATGCTTATAGTTGAATCGAGCGGCTAGACAAGACGAATCCAAAGAACCCAAGATCGCCAAATTATAATATCACTAAGACATTTAAATGCCTAATAAATAGTCCATAATCAAGAAATTTAACATCGATCATCCATTTAAATCACTCCCAATTTAATTTCCTATTCATTTACATTTTTTTTCTTGATTGATATTAGCTTAATCCTGTATTTATTCGATCTTAAAGAGATTTTATGATTTTTTTAAATGAGATTTTTAATATCACGTATTTAGTTAATATATTTAATATCACGTATTTAGTTAATATATTAAACATGTTCTAGCAGAAATCGAGTGATTTGATGATTGAATGCATTTTGTGAAGGAAAAAAATAAACTAATTCACTAACAAAGTTTTATCATTTTTAATATTGATTATATTGGTCCTAAGTCTGGATGTAAAAAATTGAAGAAAAATAATAATATAATAAAAAAAATTTTAGGCCCCCCCTGGAGATATTTTCTGGCTCCTCCACTGACGGTGCTCACTTCATGTGGGAAAACAATGATGCCCATTATGTGTGGGAAAATAACGGTTCCCATGGCACAATAGGTGGCCTAAACTACAGGCCTAAATGACCCTAATTGAGAGAAAATGGAACATCCTAGCGGTGCCCACTTCGTGTGGGAAAAACAACGATGCATATAGCTACTCTACATGCCTAAGGTGACCATAAGGGTCTCTAGGGCTCATAGAAGGGGGGCAAGCTTTGACCTATAGGGCCAAAGTTTCGTTAGTTTTTAGTTAGTGCACTAACCTATGACTAATTACCTAAACATGCTAGAATAGCTATTAACAAGATGTGTGTGGTGTGTAGCAGTTTCGATATGTAATTAGGAGTTTACTTTACAAGTTGCATAAATTATACTTGACTGTGGCACTGCCACTTAATAGATCCTAAGTAAATGATATCGCTTGATTCTTGACCGTGTAAGACCCGATGTACCTCGCAAAATAAGATAAATATATATGAGCGTAGATGTCATTCATAAATGAAATACAGGTAAATAAAAAATATAACTAACATGAAATTTAAGATTAGCATTTAAAAAACATGTGCATATAGTAAGTATTGAATAATAAGATAAAATATCAGTCTAACCTAGGGCTAAAAGTTGTAGGAAAAATGTGTCACTAAGTTTATATTTTGATGTCTCTATCCTATAAGGAGCATACACCCTAAGTCTATGTTACCTAAGACCCGGTCTTTATTTTTTGTCCTTAGGTTGTCACTAATGTTGTGGGACAAAAGTAAGTGTTTTTCTAACATCTCTAGACAATCATACATATATTAGCAAGTTTAGAAATTTATGAATGAAATAAGACAATAAATAGGAGAGTAGTAGAAATGAAAGAAGAACGAAAACTACAAAATACCAAAAAGAAGGAGAGAAGTGAGAAAACAAAATAATAAAGGAATGTAGACAGTTATATTGTTGGTCACACTTCTTTGCAGCCAAGTGTGCATCTAAAACAACCTTTTCCCCAATTCGATGTGATACGAATATGGAAGAAGGCATTTTCAATGCCCTTTATTGTACCCACAATCCAAATAAAGCACTTGATAAAACTCAACTCAATTACATATATTATTTCCTAAGTAAAACTCAAAATAACCAAGGGGAATCAAGCTCCCAAAACTAAAATCGAAACTAGCCTTCTCTTTTTCTAATCATTCAAAATTCAACCTTTAGAAGCAAATACGGACAATAAAAAAAGGTAACACACACACTGAACATTATCTCACTCAAAAAAGACACTAAAGGATCTTACTACACAAAGCTAATCATGAAACTAGAAATCCCAAATTGACTTATAGAAAATTCTAAATGAAATGATACGTAAAACCTTACGCAAATCATCCACCAAAATCCTTTTCGACACAAAGACAATCAAGTGCTTTTATATTTGGTGTGGGGTAGAATTCATGAAAATCTTCTAACAAGAAGACTTCATGAGACTCTTCCATTATAAAACATTCACAAAGCTTTTCTAAGACAAAATCATTCATAAAACCTTCCAACGTAGAATAGTTTGAAAATATTTCCAATCATAAAGCAAACCATACATCTTCCCAACTTGAAATGAACCCAACTCGCTTTTAAACATAAGGATAAACCATAACTCTTTCTAACACAAAATGAATTATAAGTCTTTCAAATATAGAACAAAGCCCTACATCTTTTGAATATGAAATTGTCTCATAAAATTTTCCAACAAACTTCTACCTTTCATTCCACAATCATAAAATATCACAATATAGTTATTCTCCCAAATATTCATGAAACCCTCCAACCACAACACAACTTATGAAATATTCCCACATAAAGCAAATCACATAGTTTTCCAACATAAAATAATCCATAAAAGCTTTCCAAAACAACTCATAAGGAGATAAGAAATCCAAACTCTTATCCATCTAACGTGTATACATGTACACCACTAGAGTATAAAGCACACATATGAACTTGATGCAAGTGCAAAGAAAGAAATACTAGACTTCCAAATTGACTCCACTTTTCAATTGTAAACTTCCAACTTACTTATTTATTCCAAATCAATACTTATGACAAATGAAATTTGAGAGAAGGAAAATTATAGCAACTTTATTTTCTTCCAACAACTCAAAAGGTTATCTAATCATGAACCATAATTAATGCAACCAACAATTTCTTGTATGTATCATACAATTCCAAGCCTTCTCCCTTGAATCATGAATATACAAAACCCATTGCGCACTTTCATAGAACAAGAAAACAAGAAAAATAAATAAAATTTAGCACTTTCTAAACAACATATACTTATAATCAAAGCATAAAACAAATAAAATCATTCGATGCAATTACAAGCTTTTATACCCACGTGTCGGATATGGCTTTGCTGTGTCCAATTAAAATATTATTTATATTTGATCGGACACGCGTATCTCTTGGTACTCGGTACTGCTCAATACTCGGTATTGCTCAGTACTGCTCGGTACTCGGTACCACTCGGTACTGCTCAGTACTACTCGGTACTCGGTACCGCTCGGTACTCGGTACCACTCGGTATCAGAACTAGGTATCGCTCAGTACTGCCCGGTACAGAGGGGTACTGAATGGTACCAAGTAGTGCTGAGAAGGTAGAAAAAACTTTAAAGTAACTCTTACCGTAAAAATTTGTTCCGGGGGCTTGCGACTTCCTCTTGAAGTCTTCGAACAGGAAATGGAGAGGAGAGAGGGTCCGAAATTCTCTTGCTTTTGTTTAAACAGAGAAAGATGGAGAGAGGGAGAGGGAGAGTAAGTCGGCAGAAGTCCCCTGGCTTGTGCGAATGCCGAGTCCGTCGGGGAGAGAGCGTGAGAGTATGCCCATCCATGGTTTAGGGCGGGCCGAACCAAGGAAAAAGGAGTGGGAAAAATCGCCCCTTGCTGCTCGAGGGACCCTCCTCTATCTCTCTCCCCCGTAGAAATGGTTCCATCCCACCTAAAACTTTGATCCCAGTGATCAGAGGGGCCTCGAAAGGGAATATAATGTGACTGCGGCTTCTGATCCATGACAGACTTCGAGCTTCAAGGTAAATCAAGATCATGAGTTCTATTTCCTGATCTAATACTAAATTCAAATGGATTTAGAAAGTCAATGAAACCTCAATTAGAATTAGGTTGAGCCATTTTGGCCAGAATCAAGTTCAAATCAAACCCAATTTGACTCAACTCGGGTCAATTTGAGTTCGACTCGACTCGACCAAATTATTCGATAGATTATAATAAAATAAAAAACAAACTCAAATCAATGCCGATTCGAATTGAATCGAGCTCGACGAGGCTCGATCAACACGATCAAACACATTCGAGAGCAAATCAGGATAAAAATGAGGTTAACAATGCATATATGTAAGATTTATAGTCCCCGAAAAAAATAAACTTACCTACCAATTAGGCATACTACGATAGTATCCTTGAACCCTAAATCTAAAATAGGTTTAGTGTTCTACACCCAACACTAACACCCGTGTTCTAGCTAATGCACATGAGATTATATATTGGCTGAGAAAGAAAGCCAGCTAACCACCTAATTGCATAAAATTCATGATGTCCTGTCTTTATGAAAGATGAGTATGTATTTTAATTTTTTTGCAATAAGGCCGACATTTAGAGAATTTCATAATTGGCCTTGGACTTATGTATGGTGAATGCTCCTAGAGTTAATATAATTAATTTTTTTACATAATTTTTAATGCAATACATGCTAGTTTAAATGATATTTAAATTATGAATGCTTAAGATTTAAAAAAAGCTTATAAAAATAAATTTTTAAAAAAGACAGGACTTGCCTAAGTCCGGCACATTATCCTTATAAGCCAGATTATCCAGACTCTACCAGCAGGCGAGGAAGTGTCTTATAGGAAGGGAGAAGAGAATGCATCAATATGCATGCGACCATGGACAGTTCTAGCTATTTCCTAGGTTGTTAAGTTTCTATATTACTTAATTCCTAAAATATTAATTTTTTATTATGAGTAGAAAAAGTTTTTTTGTCCTTAAAGAGCCTAGCAAAATTAATATATTTTGGCAGACCCCTGACCTATGAGGGTGCATATCCGTCAAGGAGAATCTATGCAATCTCTAAGATAAAAAAAAAATTTATGTCTTTTTTAAAACTACTTCATCCCAATTTCAAGTACTAACCGAGTAAATTAGCATACATTATATTAGAAACACATTTAAAAGATAGTAAATTTTAATTGCATTTCTCTTTAGTATTTTCATCCAACATAAGTCAAGGGATTAATTAAGATAAGTTCTAGATATCAATCCCAATTTTCAAAAACCTTAATAAAAATATCACTATCACTCTTTCATAAAAATGATTGGACTCGAGGATTTAAACTTGACTAGTTGGTTAGCTGGCTCCCCAATCCAGACAGGGGTAAGTCCAGTTTTTTGCACTATATTAGTTAGGTTCGTGTCACCATTATTTGGTACCCAATTTAGATTTAGGAACCAAGATGAATTTTGAATCATAAAACCCCAAACTTTGGGAATATAATACCAAAATTTTAACAATATGCTCAACTTTAATTAGATATTCTTTCAATTCAAACTTTAAAGCTCAATACTTAGCTTAGGTCTGTGCACTTCTAAATTTTTTTAGAATCTCAAAGTGCCTTCTACCCTTCTTACTTCGACTTTTTAAAATAAGTGTTCAATCTTGCTCTAATCCCATTTGAAATTCCTTTTTATCTCGTTTGACATCACTCCTATAAAATATCTAAGAAAAAATTCACCATTATTTTAATCAAGAGTTTTTGTATGAGACTTAAGTTTCCCACGATGTAATTAAATACGAGGGCTTACGCTCGTAAGAGATTTAGAATCCATATCCACCTCTTTTAAAATCAAAACTAAAAATTCAAAATTAATCTTCTTTGGAAAAATGAAGTTGACAATGATCATTATCTTCATATTCCATTGATTGATAATATGTGATATTTTTTCTCCTTTGAGAGATATATTATTCACTATTGTGATATGAAATATGAAGTTAACGATTTTATTTGGATTATAGTGGTTGAATACTGATAGAATCTCATTTCGACCCTTCAAGTTTGTATGTGATTCTTATTTGAATTCAACTACTATAATCGAGATGACACCTTTCAGTTTCATCATATGAACTCGTTAGCAAATGATATCTTTGCATTAAGAGACAATATATTGTTTATAATAAGGTATTCAATTTTGAGACTGTAAATCTAAAATTAAATTTCCCAAATAAAATTAAGCCTTTCAAAACCCCTTTTAAAACTTCCACCAACAATATGCATGTCAATATAAACATTAGTATTTTTGTGTCATGAAATATTCACGACGGTAGAGAAATATATAGTTTATCGTCTTAGCTTTATATGAAGATCCAATACACAATTAGATAAGAGCGAGGGTGTAGCATTCATAAGAGGCACAAAGATTTTTATATGAAAAACTTGAAAAGGGGAAAAACTATGGGGCCTTGCTCAGTTTGAATGAATATACTATTATTTGCAATTGATTACAAATAAAGCCTTTCCTTGGGGGAAGGCCTTTGGCTTGATATAATAATATACATCATTTATCATTATGTGGCGATAGAGGCTGGAAGGACTGTAGTATTTCTATGGATATCGAAAGGACCGTAGTCGGTGGGCAACAATGGTCAAAAAGACTGTTGCCTGGTGAAGCAGGTCGGTTGGATTGTAGTTGACTAGCGACGGGGGTCGGAAGTTTGAAGTTAGGCAGAAGTTCAATAATAGATGGAAGTCCGACATCATATAGAAGTCTGACGAAAGTTCAGTGACGGGCAGAAGTTCGGCGACGGGTAAAAATTAGTCGATGGGCAGAAGTCCGGCGTTGGGTAGAAGTCCGACGAAAATCCGGAGACAGGTATAAGTCCTGAGAAGGGTGAAAGTTCAGTGTCGGGTAGAAGTTCGATGAAAGGCCAACTAGGGACAAAATTCCGGCATCGGTTGACTCCTCTCTTCTTGGTTCTTGCGTCGGGTCCCCTCTCATGAGAAATGAGGGGTCTATTTATAATTTTTGAGTGACATGACCAATAAATAGGAGGAAGATTAAGGATAAATTGAGAGTGATTTGAATGGACGGTCGATGTTGATTCACTTGAGTATGGATCATTTATTGGATATTTGAATGTCTTAATGATATCAAAATTTAGTGATGTTGGGCTCGTTGGATTAGTTTTGTTGAGCCGCTCGATCCAACTATAAACACGTCACATTTGGAAATTGTTTGGTAATCCAAATTATGGTTTGAATCTTCTAAATGTGCTTCCGGTCTTTGATTTTTTTTTATTTGGGCTCGGATGGAGTTGAATGTAGTGTCATTGGGTTCATATTTCAGAGAAATTTAGTTTGACTATAAGTTTGCTGAGATCAATGATTATGGATTTAATTTTTGAAGTTTTCAACTTGATTTTGTTTTGAGATTCGTGCCCGATCAATATAATTTTTTGATGATATATTAAGTATTATATGAATTTACGCAACAAGGTAGGACATCAAACTTTTAGGTGGTATTTTCATTCTCTCATTTATCAATCAACTGCCATATCAATCCATCATTATCTCTCAATCACATATTTCAATTTCTTTTATTAATTATTTATGTTAATTGATTATTTTTTATAAATCAATAGAGAGTCGTCACTCAATATTCATCAGCGTAATCAGTCAATCAATTATAGACTAACATCCATCATTATATCACAAATATTTATTTTAAGAAAATTGATCAGTCTACTCTCATATACATAGATTACATCTGAATCTGACCAATGATCCAATTTTAACATCACTAATTAAAAAGCTATTTTAAAAATGAGTAAAAAATCAGTCTTAAGGAAAATTCATCGAACACAATTTACAGATTTCCACATTAAAAAAAAAAAAACTTAATTTACAGAATGAGCCTCAAAGTTATCACTAGCTCTGGCAGCATAAATTCCCCCTCTGCTTTTTGCGACGTTATCGGCTTTTTAAGGTTCTCTCCGCTTTTTCCATGAGAAAGGAAACGTGTTCAAGCGAAGCGCCGAGATAAGAATACTCCCCAGCAGCTACGAGCGGAAATGCCTTCGCCATTCTCCAAGTCTTCTCCAACAATCCCTAACTCCTTGCTCCTCTAGGGTTTGAGCCAATCCCTTTCCAAAACCCTTAAATCTCGTGATTACTCTTCTTCGAGTCGATCGGAGGAGGGAAGTGAGAGAATGGGGAGGGGTTGCAGGTCGGCGTCGCACCAGATGTTCAAGGATAAGGCAAAGAACCGGGTCGATGACCTTCAAGGGATGTTTTCGGACCTCCAATCAGCTCGCAGAGAGAGCCGCGCCGGTGACGTCGCTGTGCTAGAGGAGCAGGTCAATCAGATGCTGCGCGAATGGAAGGCCGAGCTCAATGAGGCCTCTCCTGCTACTTCGTTTCTCGTGAGGACCCGTGATCATTCCGTTTCTTTCCGTCGATAGCTATTTAGTTTATGTTGTGTCTGATATGTCTCATAACTTTGGTCCAGGGGAACAGCCGGGTCTCGTCTGACCTCTCTTCGGAGATCCGCCGCTTGTTGCAGCTTGGCGAGGAGGAGGATGATGCCACGAGCCAATTAGCGGAGCTGGCACAGGCCAATCTGAAACCAGAGCCTGTGGATACGCCTGAAGCTTTGGTAGGTAGTGTTCAAGGTGGAAGATCTGCTGCCTTTCAAGAGGTCTGCTTCTTACCTCCACTTCCTTTTTTTTTTGTTTTCTTCCTCTGGAATTGTGTGTTATGCTTTGAAGACAAGGAATGTGGACTTTTGATCTGAATTTGCGTCTGACCAGAAAAGTATAACTTGTCTCACGGTCAGGCATTGGTCCATGTCTCCATGACAAATCATGATGTTGTTGTTGTTTTTTTTTTCCTTTTCTGGTACCTTTTTTTCTTTCATCCACCTTTTCCAAACTTATTGCCTTACCTGCTTGAGATATCCATTGGGCAAGTAGTTGTTAAAATGGGAATGGTAATTTAATGTGGTTTTGCTTGCATAAAATATGAGTGATACGCCTTGATTGCATCCAACCTGCTCAAAGTTGAGTAATGGAGCACCAACTTTAATCTACTTGCTTGCTTAAATTGGGTTCTTCTGGATGGATGAACTCGATGTCAATTTTGTACTTTATAGGAGCAAAGCTTACTTTTTTGGTACTATTTCTGAATTTGGTGTTGCATGGATAAAAATCAACATCCATATCCAAGTTTTAAGGCGTTCACAACTTCCGCTTAGATAGGATTGTGCTTATCATTCATACTTTTACGGATGAGAGCATCCTCTTTACTTCACGGAGAATACTACAAACTGAGAGCATCCTCAGTTTGTTGTATTTCCCCGTGTATTTCTTTTCTTTTTAAAGTGCAGCATAATAGCTGTGCATAAGCTATCGGCTGTCTTACGCTTGAATGAATCAGATGAGATGGCAAGAAGGCATTCTAAACTTCTTGAACTCACGAAATATGATTTTCCTAAAAGTTTGCTGGCATGTTAATCTTTTTTTCTAGCATGCCAAAAACGTTGTATGTTGTTTTATAACATCAACCACTTAACATTTTCTTTCCATCTGCTTCATTAATTGGATTGATTATCCATGGACTTTCTTTCTTAATCAAGGTTAAGAAATGTTGATTGACATATTGAACAAACTTTTCATTTTTGTAAGGAATATATAACTTGATGAAGCACATGATTCTACCACAGAAAGAAGTTAAAAAAATAAGAAATACCTAGTACTTCTACGATACTGATAGGCAAAGATTGAGGAAGCAAGCAAAGCATGGATTGGTTTTGGGAAGCTACCGATGGATGTTAGGTCAGGTGGTATTGTCCCCACCTCAGAAAGTGTGAAGTGAGAGGTTCATCTCATCCACATTGAGTGGTTTGTTGGGTATGATGGAGATTGAGGAGCAAACACCACAACGACGAAACAAGTAAGAAAGTAAATGCAACGGAAAGTAAGAGACACCAGAATTTAACGTGGGAAAACTCAAAATAGGGAAAAAAACTACGGAGCCACACCATACCAAGAAATCCATTATGAAAATTGGGAGAAATAAGTACAAATCTCTCTTATCTCTCACTCTCTCCTTGCTTCTCTTATCACATGCACTGTTCTCACACTTGCCCTAACTGAAAATATAAGAGAAAGTCAAGTAAAATAACTCCAAGGGACACGACCCTTCATAAAACGAGAAAGAAAATCACCCAGTTTTTAGAGGTGCTGCGGCTCCAGTTTGGGGCGCTGCGGCGCCCAGTCTCTGTTTGACAATGTTGCAGCACTCACACACTCAACGCTGCGACTCTCAGTCTGTCTTGACCGGCTATGTTGCCATATTTAGGCCGCTGCAATGCTCTACTCTATGTCGTTCATCGCTGGGCTGCTTGGGAACACAGAGCTGGGGCGCTCGGGTACGTAGCGCCGGGACGCTTAGGTACACATCATCAGGAGCGTTGTACGGTAAAAAGTTTTTGGTGCGAATCACTCGAACCCAAGTAGGTGGAAAACCCACACCCCCAGTGTACACGACAAGCTTTGAGGTCCTAGATAATAGAACAACCAGATTGATCAACACAATCAGATTCCACACATAACATGATTAAAAAAATTCTTTATACCTAGCGATAAATAGAATAATTTTCTTTGATGAGTCATTTGTCTGTCTGAAAACAGGAAATTTTTCTTTGCTTGCCTATCTTTGAAAGTATTCTTTATCTAGGAAAATAGATTGATATTATATGCGATCTATGTAGATGATGGAGAGCAAAGGAGCCTTCATCAAGTTTTCAACTTTGATTTCATCTTAGAGGACAGAAACAAGCAGTTCTTGGATGACCTTCGAATACCAGCTTCACTTTTTTTTTGTCCAAGCTTATACATTAGTTTCAAAGAAAAGCTGTGTTTTAGGAAGCATGGTTTGAACTGACTAATAGATGTTTCATCTAACCCTTTCTCTCAGTGAAAGCATTAACTGGCCAACTTACTTGGATGACCATATGGTTTCCACTGTTGCCACCATTAATGGATCACCTCGAACTATTTTCTTTTTGTTTTGTTCAAATTTACCTTCAAATTGTGCCTTGGATGAGTATTAATTGTCATATTAGGTGACATAATTCCATGTTTTGAAGCTTACATAGAAAGTGGGTGATAACAAAGAGTACGAGGACTTTTCATCTTTCTTGCAATAAGTTATAACTGCTTTCCTATGTATATGTATTCCTTTTTTCTCATTGTAACCAACTTAAGACAGTAAACTGTGACAGCTAGTTTTGGAATGAATTAATATATGTTTCAGATGGGAATTGGACGTTTATCCCCCTACAAGGAGCATGCTTGGAGGGCTTTTCTGTTGAAGTGGTTAACATTCCTGAAGGATTAAAATATAAAAATTGTATATCAAACTGTTGCATTTTGTTTGCCCGATCAACATGCTACTAGCAATCGTATGCATTCCCATCTTCCATGCTTATTGTGTGTGAAGAATTCTGTCACTGGATGTATATGTACCTCCCATTGAACTCACTACAAAAAGCTGGAATACTGGCATCAGCATTAGCCGATAGCAATGGAGGTCTTGACGTAACTATTAAGTGTTTTTACAACCATTGACATCTCTCTCTCTCTCTCTCTCTCTCTCTCTCTCACACACACACACACACACACACGAGTTATCATATTTCTACTTTTTTTCTCCCCTAGGTATTTATACTTCTCCTTGTTTCTTGCATTTTTGCATGTTTTGCTAGTTTTTCTGTAGCAATTAGTGTTATTTTTTATTTTTGGATGTGATTATTATATAGGGGACACTTATTTACATGCAATAATAATCTCTATATTTTACTATTGCTATTTTAAATTATTGCAACAAAGTCTGATTCCTTGTGATTGTTTAGTGGAATGCATGGCAATAAAGTGATAATCCTATCCCTTTATGAGTCATTTCACCAGAACATTTCCTAGAGCAAATGGTGACAAAGGGACAACATGATTATGTACTAGTAAAGTCAACTAGAAATTTAAAATGCTCAAGCTCATATCTATGTTGTCAAATCAAACATCTAGAATTTACGTGCTTGAATTTTTTAAAGTTTTTTTTTCCTTCTTTCTATCTCTCTGAGCTATCATCAATCCTCACTTAATAGTTAATTATTTGTGATCAGGTTTGAGAATCTCTCTTTTCTAATTCCTGTTGATAGTTTTCATCAATGAACCAAATTGAAGGAGAACCTAAAGTTCGTCGAAACCGCTCCATGGATGTGGGAGAAGGGTAGAATGGTAGGAAGGTTATCAGTGGTATTTTGTGAGCAATACCTTAAAGAGAGGAGAAGTGTAGAATTGGGTGGTGCCAGAGAAGGAAAACTGATTTTAATGTGAGAAGGAGACATTTGGGTGGAGTAAATATACCTTGTTTTTCACACTTCCAACTCGTTGCAATGCAAAATGGATTCTTGTTGTTTTCTATGCTCTCATAACATTCCAAGGGCTTGGATGCTATCAATTTCTCTTAAAAGGGCTTGGGTAGCTCTATCTTCGAGAATCTTGGTGAGCTAGAGACAAAAAGATGGAGATGAAGAGTTTAGGAGGCACTCTTCTTTCTTTTACCTTTTTTTGGATGAATTTCTTTTACAATAATTTCCATTTACGAGGAAATATCAAAAATAAAAATGTCAAAGCAAAAAAAAAAAAAGTACTAGATACAATTAAATATTCTTAAGTCAGATTGGGAAACTAGCTAATACTTGAGAAATTTGATTGGAGATCTTGTAGCTATCAAAGGAGGTATGTTATTTACATTAGGGGACATCAACTCCATGTACATGGAAGGCCAAATCCATCTCAAATCAATCCTTTCCTTTAATTTTTCCCCTTGTGTGGCCTCTATTGGTGCACTGCTGTACCCCTGATTTTATCTTGATGTAATCTCGATGTAATTGGTTCAAAGCAAGTGATATGGTTGATCTTGTAGCCTTATCCAAATGGAGGTGTGCATCATAAGGTCTTATGGTTCTTTAGATCTTATCGAATTTGAATCCCCCAATTAAGCACAATCACTCTTGTGACGAGCAGTTACAAGAAAGGATAAATGGTAAGCTTGTTGGTTGGGTCATGGAATAGCTTAACTGCTATCCCTTTGTTGCCCAGGCCTTTGTATTTTGATATGATTTTCTAGTAATAAGGTTGGTACATAAAAATGGATCTCTCTACCAATACAAAATTGGCATATGCCCAATTTGATGGCTTGACTTAGCCCAAGTATATTAAAATTTAGTCATGCAGTGAACGGGTTTAGTCATCCAAACAAGGTAGATTCCATTTTTTAAGGGGAAATTATCCCGGAGATATGTGCTATGCCTCGTCTTTTCCTATGAGCTACAGAAGATAGATATAGTTGTGCAGGATTTTCCATCAGGGTAAGATGCTTTATTACCTGTTTTCTACTTTGCCAGGTAGAGGCATATCCATCTTTTCTCTTTACTAGAGACTATAGTTCAGCACATAAATTATTTATTTACATAATTGCTAACATATTATTGCTTTCTCATTTGCAAAGTATCTCACTTAGCTTTATTTCCCTTATTTATGAACTTCCAATAGAATATATTTTCTATGCCTGTTCTATGTAGATATGAGAATCAATAATATTTTCTCTTGCCCAAAGCGGGTATGAGGTTCCTCC